GTTACTAAATTTTTATTTACAATAATTAAAATATTTTCAATTCAATATTCAAATATATTCAAAACAATATTTTCAGTATTTGAATGGTATATCGTGATGTATTTCCACCATAAGTTGTGGAGCACCTGTTGTTACATGCTGCTAACAATGTGACAAGTTTTATTTTTTTCATGCATCAAAATATTTGGTTTTCAGGAAACCTTGTAAGGTAAGTTCCATAATTCCATTTTATTGATGAGAAAATCTATTTTATTTGAGGTACAGAGAAATGTAGTAATTTGCTAAGGTCAATGGGAAATTTGAGATTTGTGCTAAGTGGTAAAGAAATGGTAAACCAGATCTGGGTTTAAGTTCATCTGAAAGATCATATATACTTGTAGTATGCCATAGTGCTTCTAGAATCTGAACCAGTGCTGTTCATAGATATTTAACATGAACCGCATAGGTAATTTTAAATATTCTAATAACCAAAATACAAACATTGAAATAGATAAAAATAATTTAATATATTTTACTTGAACCAATGTATTGAAAAGTTTATCATGCCAATATATAATCAGTACAAAAGTATTAAAGAGATATTTTATATATTTTTACTAGATCTTTAAAATCCAGTGTGCCTTTTATGAGATTTACAATGCATTTTAATTCAAACTACCTATATTTCCAATTCTCAAACCAGCTCTATCCCATCAAGTCTAAAGTTTTTGGGTATAGATAAGAATAATGAGGCCAAGGAAGTAAATTGCTGCAGTCTGGAGTTAATCAGCTGTGTGAGAATGAATTTGGTTACCAGACTTGAAGAGAAAAATCAGTTTCCAAGACTTGAGCCTGGGTTAAGTTCGCAGCAGAGCTACTCTGTCAGGCATAGCTCTTCTGCACAGTTCTTCTCATCAGCCTGTCCCCTTTAGACCTAACCACAACTCATTACACTGCATTGCATCTTTTGCACTACAAAGGCCAAAGCCGCTAGTTTCACTTGTAATTGGAACAAATATTAAAAACTATTTGTTTACTTACTTTTGCAGTGTTGCATGAAATAAAAAGAAAAAGCCAAAGAGTTCAAATTACCAGGGAACATAGTAGCACAGAAACTCTCACTGTTTGTAGATTTTCTGTGTTTACCTACAAAAGGGATGTAGAAAACAAATTACCATAATGTGCTTCAGTTTGGGAAGAGGGTTGGGATTCTACAAACTTCTAAACATTCTCCAACTTCATTACAGATACTCTGGATCCTTATAGGTTTATTACATTGCCCCCTGTTGACTTTCAGAAAACTCAGAATGATTCCTAAGTTTTTACCTTAAATTCACTGAAATCCTTCACATTGCTAGAGCCAGAATTGATGTAAGATGAATTTAAGTAGAAGTCTAATTTAAGAATTTCTTTTTCAATACTATGTTCATAACAGTGTTGCTAGAGTGTCTAGAATTTGAATTTTAGAGCAAGAAGTATCTTGCAGTATAAGGATCTTATCTAACAGTGTTTTTTGAAAAAAAAATTAAAGAAGTAGTACAATCTTTTTTCCATATTGATAATACTTTGAAATTATATATAAAACAACTAACAGTGGAGCTGCTTGGGATGAAGGGGAACTGGAGGTGGAGGCTAGAGCCAAACTCTATTGGTCTTTTATTGTTTCATTTGTCAGCTGCTGAGATTTCTCTATAGAACTGAGGTATCTAATTAACACAGTTGTGAAACACTGATTTAGTACCTGTGGTTTGTTCTCCTTTCCAGTTTGATGACAGCCAGAGACTTTCATAATTCTAAGACACCTGAGCTTATGAAAAGTTGTCCAGGCACAAGTGCTAAAGAACAGCCAATGGAATAACTACTGTACAGAGAAAGAACCAAGGTAGGTCAGAATTACAGGCTCAGTTTGGGGTTAGAACAAGTTTAAGGTTGGCTGGCTAGGAGTTTGATGGTTACATACACACAAAGAAATCTGACAAGGAATTCAATTTTGACAAAAGTTGAGTTTAATTTTAGTAAATAAATATGAGTTCACAACTGGCCATTCACATAGCATCATCTATAAGCACTAGCTGCTTTCAAATGTAAATCTGGAAAAAGTCACAGCTAGTGTATAGAAGTGTTTCATAGTGGAAGAGCTAGGACCACATTTTCAGAAGGGTAGTATAGAGATAGATAAATTCTCTAAGAGAGAGAGTATGGGAATAAGAGAAGATCAAAGTCCAAGACTTGAGGAATGAATGAACTTTAAGGTATCAGAAAATCAAGAAAAGCCAGTTACAAAGAAAACAAAGGATTAGTAGAGAAGTAGAAGGAAAGGAATCCAAACATCCTCAGCCCTTTCCCTTTAGCTCCTTTGACAAAACCACCACCTTCTCTTCCTAAAGCCACTGCCATAGCCTCTGAATGGGTCTCTGTCTAGTATCCTTGCCAGTCTGTAGCTAATCCTACAAAGCACAGTGATTCATTTAAAACATCAAATTAGGGCACATCTATTGTCTTCCAGAAACCCCTTGAAGCTTCTCATCATTCTCAAAACAGGAGGCAAAGTCCTTGCCATGACTTTCCCAGTCTGGTGTTTGGGTAACATTCTGAACTCATCTACATCAGTAGCTTCCTTACTTTTTGCTGTTCTTTAAATACACTAAGCACAGCCTATTTCAGGACTTGCTGTTCTCTCTGTGCGTACACATTTCCTTTAGCCAAACACTAGCTCAGTCCTTTTCTTCCTTCAGATCTCTCTGCATGTATCACCTGATCATGCGACCTCCCTGAGCATCCTCAGTAAAACAGCATTCCTTCCCACTCATCCCTTCCTATTTCCTTATGACACTTTATTGGTCTCAGTATCACTATCATCAACATATAGTTATTTTTTTAAACATCTGTCTTAGCCACACATATGGGAGTTTAACATTGAATAGGTGCTTAATAGATACTCATTGTGTAAATGAATGAGAGAATGTAATACCAAAGACAAAAAGAGCAGGTGGCTCCAAGAAGGTGATCAAGTGTCAAGCACTTGAGAAAGACCACAAAGGAAATGAATTAGGGAGAGGCCATTTGAGTGACCTTTAGGTTACCAGTATTCTTTCCGCACAAAAAGTCAGAAGTGTTTCAGATTTATTCACATTTGCTTCTCAGCACTTCCCTAGATGTGTTCCTGTACTTTTTTTTTTTTTTTGGTACTGTGGCTTGAACTCAGG